CGTAAAAAGAGAACGTAAGAAAGTATATAATCACCAAAAAAATATTTTATGTTACGTAAATTACAAATGTAAAAACATATTGTAAAATGTACATAAAATGTAGTTTTTCTGGTCTTCTGACTCTTTTTATGCCAAATTTTACGCAATGCATCAATATGACTGTAACTATTTGTATTTGAAACATAATTTATTTATGAAGTGATCGTAAGATTACCTCGGGTGAAGAATAATTATTCTGCACCCTGGGTGATGAATAGAAAAATAGTGAAAACCCTCGTTTCTCTGTTGACTTGCCCATCACGTGTGTGACGTGGCCGGACTAACAAGATGCGCTTATTCTAAAAGTTGCCATCGAATAGTTATTTATTTTGATTGCATTTATTTTATTCGGCTATCAAATCCGCCGTATTCAACTACCTCCTAATAATGTAGTATGATGTTATGTTTCGAGCTGATTTTGATGGCTATTAATGGATCTAAATCATGAAGGTAAACTAAAAGTATTCCTGAGATTATTTTTGGGCAAGCTGAGTGGCCATCTGCGATTACATCTCACTGAGATATGGGCCCACACATGCATACTAGCCAGTTTGTGTGAGGGCATCTTAAACAGTTTGTTTGTTAGGTTATTTGTAAAATCTGGTATGTCATCAGCCAACTACATATCATAAAACCATTCCAATAGGTTGTCTATAGTTTGTCTTGTGGCAAGACAAAACAGGTGTATGAGCTAATTTGAAGTCTGGCTGCTAGCAACGCGTCGTGTTGACTTGGTGAGTACTCTTCCCATGGTCATTTCAACCCTCGGGTTTGCTCCATCAGCTATAAATAGCCCCTACCTTACCCTTAGATGGTTGGCCGCTCCGCGCGGATTGAGATGGAGATTGTCTAAGTAATTCATTTTTCCTTGCACATATTTGAGAGAATCCTACTGAGGAAAAACCCAAAGCCTAAAAATGCTAAGTAAATTGGGATCACTAGAGAACTTGATCGAAGCTGGTCTTAACCTATTACTCTTGTTGACTGTACATCTATTAGACGGTTAGGTTTCTATTCTGAGCATCCAAGAGTATGGGTGGACTGCCAGAAGAACAATTTTGTGAAGGCCTTTAGAGATCTACCTTAAAGATTTTTGAAGAGTGATTGGGCGCAGACGAAGTTGGTTGTACCTCAAGGAGAATCAGGTGAAGACTTTATCTTTTGAGTTCAACCTCATCCCCTCCACTCAGATGTAGAGTTGTGTCACCAACTTGAACTGGCTGAACAAATCATTGTCTTCAGTAAGCTTGGGTTCTATTTCCTCCCTCAACTTACTATATTTGTACTTTGTATTGCAAAGAACTTACTCCCCCTATGTTTTCCATTGTGAAGATTTTGATGTACTCTTTTCTATTATGCTGCATGAACTATGTTTTTAGTCTTCGATGTGTCCTATGCCACTATGTTTCTGCTTCCTTCTTTGATAGGTCAGCTCCTATTTCAAATGTACCTTGCTGCTTATGTATTTTGTCTTAACTACAGAATTTACCTATGTTTGTTGTCCTAGTTTGTCTTCGGTTAGTTTGTTTTATCCAAGATATATTTGAAAATCTCCAATTTACCCTCTCTGGTCGATATCTTCCTTTACAGTTAGCCAAAATTGCACATGATTTATACCTTCAACCATGTGCAAGCTAAAAAAATTGTATGTTATTGATTTATCTCACATGGTTTACGAGAGAAACCATGTGTAATAAGTTCATATCGCACGCAGTTTTTCTAGAAATTTGTTTGATGAGTGTTTCCTGCACAATAATGCACACCCTCAGCGAAAATATTCACTAGCCAAAAAAATTTCCTCCTCCCCCGTCGTTTCCCTTCCTGCCCTCCAACCCTCATCCCTTCCTACCTCAATCCTCCTTGGCACCCTTCTACTCTTCCTCGTTCTAGCCGCCTTGACTCAGATAAGTTAGCCCCCCTTCCTCCATCCTCGATGGCCCGATCGTCGGCGTGACACCGTGTGGAATACGAATCCACTTCACTTCCTCCAAACCCTCACATTTGTTGCCCGTACAGTCGGGAGCTTGAGGAGCATACGGACGCATAGAGGAAAATCATGGATGTGCGGAAGAGGCTACCGATCTGCCATGTGCATCGACCCCAAGATCTTGGAGCGGCCCTTTGCCATCGAGGTGGCCATCAAAGATGTGTGTATGGATGACACCATGCAGTTGTCCATATTAAATGATAGGGCACGTCCATTCTTTAAGTTCAAAGCTGCAGCGGTGATACCCAAACTATCGTAAGTCACCGACCGTGATGAGGTCTCAGGCCCATACAAGGTGAAGGACCCAATCGTAATCTCCTCCATTGTTGAGGACTAGCTATTTTAGCTAACTAATCCATGTTTCTTCTTAATTGTACCATATTTCTAGTTAGTTGTGCAATGTGATGTCCAATTATGCAATGCGAAGTTTTAAGTATGCAATATTTAATTTAAATAAGGCAATGTGATGTTCAATTGCACATTGTTCAGTTCAATTATGCACTGTTTAGTTTAGTCGTGCAATGTGATCTTTAAGTAATATAGAAGTGCACAACACTAGAATATACCTCTTTCTCAAAGTATTTCTATGGCAGTTGAAAGTGACATAGAATTGATGTACCAGAAATAATGAAAGTTGATACAGTATAATCTGGTTGAGCAACAAATGACGAACCAAGTTTGCTTCATATGCATATTACAAGATGCTTCTTGCTTGCATTTAGTTTTATAAAGCATGACATTAATATAATCCTATGGAAAAATCTTTCGCATATTTCAATGCATCTCTCTCTCTCTCTCTCTCTCTCTCTCTCTCTCTCTCTCTCTCTCATAGTATCATTTTAAAAAATACATTTTCTAATGCAACATAATGCCATGTGTAATAGGTTGTTTCAGTTGTGCAGAACAAAATTATAAAAAGGCAATGTGAAGTGAGGATTGGAGTATCTATTTTAACAATTATCAATGAGTACACATGGCAATTGGTTGTATTGCTTTAGATGACAAAATTATATTGGAAATTAGAAAATGACTATGCACGAGAATATCTCGAAGCATAACATTAAAAAATTAAGAAAACTAACATACATATGCCGAAGATGAGATTCTCCATTGATTCATCAGAAATGGAAGAGTGAAAGGTAGAAGTTTATATTACTTTTTGAATAATGAGCTAGTTATTAACTACAATGTCGTCGATCTTTTATTTTGGTGTAGCATGATCCTTAGCAATAAACTAATACACTTATTGCAGATATTTTCCAAAAATAAAAAAAATCAGAAGAGACCACAACCATTCATATATATTTAATGTTAAATTAACGAACGATGATGTGATGAAAATTTAAATAAAAATAATTTCAATGCGCCAAATATCTGACTACAAAATAACTAAATAGTTTCTCCATGGTGTATTTAAAAGTTTAAACGTGTGTCAAATAGACCAATAATATAATAAAATGGAGAAAACATGAACACAACAAGATACTAAATTCAGCCATGCAAACACACGGGTTCACACTGCTAGTTGCATACATATTACATCATACAAGTTTATAGATGTAGCGGGAGGAACAACAATGGTGACATAACCATACGTCGCAAGTACATGCCAAACTGGCCGGGTATATTATTTACTATGATATGGCTTATTACATGACGCATCATAGTACGTAGAGCTCCTATATGTCCCAAGATCATGCAGTCAGCTGCAGATTCCTCACAATGAGAGGGAGCCCGTACTTGGGCATCAGCGTGATGAAATTGCTGGGCTTGTGCACGTAAGTGGGGGACAGGGTGAAGGAGAAACTCTTGATGATGGTCGCTATCACAATCTGCACCTCAACCATGGCGAAGTTTTGCCCGGCACAAACCCTCGGCCCGAATGAGAAGGCCAGCAGCGCGTGTGAATGCTTGGCGGCTCTCGATAAGCCATTCTGGAACCTCATCGGATTAAACTCGTCCGCGTCGGGTCCCCAAATCTCCTTGTCCCGGTGCAACAAAACTAATGGTATTGTTATCATCGTTCCTTTCGGCACCTTCACGTGCGTTAGGATAGTGTCTGAGGCAGTCTTCCTCTGGAGGAAAGCTATGGGGCCATAGAGCCTCAGTGTCTCCAAGAGCAACATGTTAAGCTGCAAGTCACCACGGCGTTTATTCTTCTATGGATATGGATAAAAAAAAGGTATGAGATTTAACGCTAATCTATAAGGCTAGCCATAGTGGGAGTAACTTAGATAGTAACTTAACACATCCCATGACAATTTTGCTTATGTGGCAAGTATTTAATGAGCAAAGAGTTGCTTATGGTAACATAATATGTTATTGTAACATAGCGCTTCCCGAGGCAAATGAGTCTATGAAATAATAAATGAAGCGATCTATGATACTACTACTATATTACTTTGCATTATGGAGGTAGTAACTTATGCTAGTGTCATATGCATGACACTAGTCTAAGTTACTCCCCACTATGACCAGCCTAAGTCCTGGCAAAATTATAGTGTATATAATACATTTTTAAAGTTATGCTTTGACCATCTTTATATAGAAATAATAATTATCAACATCTACAATATCAAATCAATATAATTATATTTGTCATGAAATATATTTTGATATGGTTTATGTTCATTTTGTAAATGTTCACATTTTTTCTATAAACACGATCACAGTTAAGGAAGTTATATTTTAGAAAGTTATTATATGCACCATATATAATTTAGAAGGTGGGAGTATGTACGTGCGTAGCATACCAGCTTCAACTTGCCGAGGGCGTCACCTATGGGTAACCGGTGAGCGGGATATTCCCGGACGACCTCCTCCCTGACCATCTCCTGCCACCGTGGGTAGCTGGCGAGCAGGAACATCGCCCAGGTAATGAGGCTGGCACTGGTTTCGTACCCAGCCGCGAAGAAAGTCCTGCACTCGCCAACCATCTCCTCGGTGCTCAGGGTCTCGGTGCTGCCGCTGCTACATGTTTGCAGCTGCAGCTGCAGCATCTGCCCGAGCAGGTCATCTTCGTAGACGCCGCTAGCGAGTCGCGCCTCTATGATCTGTGAGATCTTATGTTTCACAAGCTTGTCAAGATACCATGCCCGACGGTTGCGACGTGTTGGCAGGTACCTGGAATCAATCACAAAATTATTCATTTCAAGAGTTAATTTATTTGATCGATTTAGTTCAAGATTAGATACTCCTTCGAGTTCTCGTTACATACATACCATAATCCAGGTACCGGAGGATCCGCAAACGCATAAGTAGCTAGCTTCAGCTGCTCCTTTCCGGCGATGAACACCTCCCAGGCCTCCTTGTAGCACTTGCCCAACATCACTCTCGCAATGACACTCATGGCTATCTCGTCGGAGTCGTGCATCATGTCTATCTCGGCTTGCTGCCTGTTGCGCCACCGTTCCATTGTCTGCTGTGTGCACTCCAACGTTATTGCTGACATGGACTGTGAACACAAACACCCTCTTGAGAATTGCGAACAAACCAATGTCGTTCCAGTATGTTCAAAAATAGAAATAAAAATAAAATAAAAATTGGTACGAAGTAACCTTGATCTTCTCTTGGTTGAAAGCCGGGTGGATGAATTTGCGCCGCCGCTTCCAGTCGTGTCCGTTTGCAAATACAACCCCATTCCCCAGAACCGCTTCCAGGCTAGGATTTGAGTAGTCTTTTTGGAACATGTCCGTCCTGTCGGTTAACACTTTCTTCACCAGCTCCATGTCCGTAGAGCACAGTGCTGGTGTCGGCCCCAGCCAGTATAGGAATGTTTTCCCTGATTATTGTACATACACGATTTATATATATTTATATATAATAATGCACACACTTGTAGGCTATAGTGATTGAGTAGGTAGGTAGAGAGTAGAGACAATATTCAAGTAATTACCATACATGGAGGCCCATTTCTGGAAGAAGGGTTGCACGGTAGTGATGCAGTCGTGGGAGATGGTGTCCAGATCCTTGGCTCTCCCGGCGACAATCATCTTCTGGCACTCCGGCAGGGACCCAACCAGGAGATTGTAAGGCGGACCTCTGATGCCCTGCCGTCGGAACCACCTGGCCACGGCATACGGCCTCCAAAGCAGATACCATAGCGCTCTCGTGGTTACTAGCACCATGAGGACAGCTGCCATGGCTTGCACTACGTTAAGCTCCATGTATTGTTTCCTGATTGTTCTGCGTAGCTCTTCTTGGTGTTTATATAACACTAGCTTTTCTTGGTGTTTATGACGTGTCTACCTACGCAACTGCATTTGATAGATTAGTAGTACCTGAGGGAAATTCATGGAACACAAGATAATGGAGTGCCTACGCCAGCAACTTCTGGACTCATGGTGTCAGTCACCATAAGAATTGAAGAGCAGACTACTGCAAGAAAGAGGTCAGGAGATCGAATCACCGCGGATTGGATGGTACCGAGTATCAAACAGATATCGTGGTGATTATTTTTTCTTTATTACACAACCACCTCATTGGCCTTCAATAGTAGTTGCATCATCTAGACGAAGAGGAAAGTTGGTTGTGTGCATCATGATGATGCAGAGGCCGGGGTCTTTACCCTTTTCGGAAGAAAAAAAGCGAAGAGGAAAGTAGTGTAGACGATGGAGCAGCTGAGCTGCCTGTGGAGCACAAGTACTGAGAGCGTCGTGAGGGTAGCTGCTTTTGGAGTGGAGATAGGATTTTCAGCACCCGGGTGCCCCTACACCCTCTATAAACAGTAAATTGAAAACAAATTCAAAAAAAAATGAAACTTTGGGACATCGGACATCATGAAATTTTGATGATCTTGCAAAGTTTTAGCTAAAAATTACATTCGAAGAGCACTCAAATAAAAAAACAAAATCATTGTTCAAAGTTTATGTAGAGTTTTTGCAGCGATTTTGTTTTTTTAGGGCTCCATGAAGGTTATTTGTTGCTGAAACTTTAAAGGAACATCAAAACTTTGATAATCTTTGATCCCTGAAAGTTTCTGATTTTTTTTGAAAAAAAATCAATTGTTTATGAATTTACTGCTTATGAGGGTGTTGGGGCATCCGGGAGCTGTTAGACATTTCTCTTTTGGAGTGCCGATTGCTTTTGCAGCTACAGGCCTGTGAAATAAGCAGCTGCAATTCCCGCAATAAAAAATGTACAAGCAGCTGCAAGATTGTGACTTTGTGATATCAACTGCCGTCCTTTTGGTAGTTAGGATGATCGATCGGTACCAACAATTGAAAAGATATTATGGCGATTAATTTTGATGTGTAGTATCATCTGCCGTCCTTCCAAGGGATGCGCCAGTAATCTCTGTCTAGATCGTTATTTATGCAAATGCCAATGCAAACATATACCGGGTGAATACTCTAGCACATTCAACCAATGAGAATCGAAGGGTCCTCCCTCCTCTCCGGCGTCGCTCCCTAGCCACCGGCCTCAGTCCTCTCTTACCCCACCCCCTCCCCAGCCTCTCCCCTCCACGCCGCCGCCGTGGCGCGCTCAGGGCCGTCTCCAGGAATTTGGGGCCCCGGTGCGAAATGCAAATGGGGCCCTAAAATCTAAAAGTTTCTTGCGATGAAACATACTCCCACTTAAATTATATAACTTTGGTTATGTTTTATTTTGTACTATATTCATAAAAACAAGGGAAACTATCTTCCTCAAACAATTCAACCCCAGAGCAGTTGACATTTAAAGATCTACTGCCTCTCTAACGTTTTATAACACTATGTTACAGAAGTTCTATTAATTAATTGGAGGTCCACGTGTACCCTATACTCACTAAATTATTGAACATAGAATGTAGACTAAAGTAAATTTGCTTAGGCTTGCGCACCTGATGGCCATTGATTGCCCCGGGATGCCTAAATTAAAGCACATGATCATAGCGGCTAGCTTCTGCCTTGCTTCGCGGCATGTTGGCCCTTGCTGGCCTGGCTACCGCAGAATTTTGACTGAATTCATGGTGCTGCCGCCTGCCCTGTCCTTGCAATTGCGCCGTCATCGCCGCACAGATCGAGTCGAGGGACATGGGAAGATTGGATTCGAAGCGAGAAGGTAACTGATCGAGGACTAGGGCCTAGTCAGGACAGAGTTTGAGACGGCTCGCGTCCATGGCAGGGGCTACGGCTTAGTCTGGCTCAGCCTGGTTTCGATGTACGCATTCTTGTTGCAATTTCTTTAATGGTGCTTTGTGGTAACTTGTATGGAGAACTTCTTCCATGCACTGACTAAAATAGATTTACTAGTTTTTTCTGCCGTTTTGTTTTTCCATTATTTTCTAGAAACATATATTTGAAGAATATATATACATGTATGTTTTCAAATATTCCATATATATAATTTAATTCACTACTGAATATATCTAATTTAGAAACAAGTAAAAAGTGAAAGATAGTCAAGTATTGCAAGCAAAAAAAGAGGATTTATATAAAAGTATTCATGTATATAAAAGTGCTATATGATAATTTAAATGTTTGTATAATTCAAAGATTGTTCATGTCTTTCTTAGAAGTGTCCATGTTATTGTAAAAATGACCATATTACTGTAAAATTTCCATGTTAATTTAAAGATGAATCAACATATTTTTAGTGATAAATGGTCAATATCTTCTCTAATACCCACTGAACATTTTCCACACACACGTGAATCCTTGCGACACACTGCCAGGCACTTCGATCAAGGCATGGAAGTGCTTGTTCAGGAGAACACCACCTGGCGTTTGTGCACACTTTGTCGAACAACAATCCAATTCCTGCACAACGAAAAGGAAAGTCATTTGTCAGTGTTCAAGAAATATATGTTAATGATTTGTGGTTGAACAACAAGCCGATTATGTTAATGGTGGAGGCACGACACTTGAGAGAAGAGGCACCATGCACAAAGCTCTTCTTGCTTGTAGATTTAGAGGCAGACCCCCTGCTGGTGCTCCTGAACCACGTTCGGCCCCTCCAATGTACAGCTCAACTCCTGGTCCTCCATAGCGGCGGGTACATAACTACTAGAGGAAGAGTAGTCACTCCCTCTATCGGACATCCTTCCTTCTTTTGCGATTTACCTCATGCTTGAAGGACCTGGTATAGGAAAGACATAACCAATAGCACACAAATTAATTTCATCATCACAATAACATACAAAAACTGGCATAAAAAATAAGTTGCCACGGAAATTAGCTAAAAAATAACATGGAAAAAGTGCCCAAAAATCTTGCCTTACCCTTCCCGCACTCTCAGACTCTCCCATATCCGGCTCAGAGTACATGCTCTAGTGCTCAGATAGAGCATTGCCCAAAACCTCCTGTGGTCATGTTTAATGAAATGCAGGTTAGATGAGAGAATTCTTTATTTGGCCCTTTCTTAAATTTTGCTTCCTTTTTTGGCCCAATAAACTTGTTTCTTCCGTTTTTGACACTCAAACTTTATTTTGTTCCCTATGTGGCACTTTCATCAGTTTTGGCTAGTAACGGTGTTAAGTCTGACCTAAAAAGACTGTTTTACCCCTAGTGTAGTATGTGACCCGATTATTTACATGCAAACACATAGGTAATGTGATATATATTTCTCACTGTTGAATAAACAAACAAAAAATAGTACTATGTGTATAATCATAAAAAAATATTGCAGGGGAATAATAATAATAATAATAATAATAATATGCGTGAAACAATGACGACAATTTTTTTTGGGGGGATAAAAAGAACAACGACGACTGTTCCAGGCAAAAATCGATTAAGCTGCTAGCATCCTTGCTTATTGTGCTTGCTTTGCACGTAGTGTGTTAGCTCCTTTGAAGCACCGATACGCACACAAGTACTCCTACACGACAAGCATGCACACACACTCGGTAAGCACGCACGCATTGACGCATGCAAGCGGCAGCAAGCGCGGAGCCATCACGCATGCAGCACGGTACCAGCAAGGCAGCAAGCACGCGGCAGCGGCAATACCGGGGGGCACGCTCGCGCAGTCGAGCCCAAATACTCGATCCAATCTTTTTTTGCTGACATGTTACCACCAGGGGTAGAATTGTCTTTTTACATGCCATTTAACAGCGCCGGATGGAAAAATGGATGGAAGTGTCACGTATGGAAGAAAATGAAGTTTAAGTGTGACACTAGTAGAAAATGGGGCAATGGTCCAGGCAGGGCCAGCCCATTAGTCCCGGTTCAGTCCAGAACCGGGACCAATGGGGGCATTGGACCCGGTTCGTGAGCCTCGAGGGCCGGCCGGGCCACGTGGGCCATTGGTCCCGGTTTGTCTGGACCTTTTGGTCCCGGTTGGAGGGACGAACCGGGACCAATGGTCCTCGCTCCTGGCCCACCACTATTGGTCCCGGTTGGAGGCATGAACCGGGACCAAAGGCTGCCCATTAGTCCCGGTTCATGCCACCAACCGGGACTAAAGGGTTGGTCCTCGTTGCGGCCAGAGTTTAGTCCTACCTCGCCAACCGAATGGGGCTCAGACCGGTTTATAAGCCCCTCCCTTTCTGCCTTGTTAAGCTCCTCTCAAAATGAAAATAGATGCCCTTATACAGAAATTTAACCTAAATTCATACTGAATTTCTCTGAATTTAGTAGAAATTTATTATGAATTTAGGTTGAATTTTCTCTATAAGCGCATCTATGCTCATTTCTGAGTAGTTTTTTATATTGTTTTTTTCTTTTCTGCTATATTTTTTTTTTCTTTTTATTTCTGAGTTGTAATAAGTCATTAAAAATAAGCAGCTATGCTCATTTTTTAGTAAAGTTAATCACAATTATTTTTTCTTCTATTTATTTCTGAATTGTAATAAGTCATTAAAAATAAGCATCTATGCTCATTTTTTTAGTAAAGTTAATAATAACTATTTTTTCTTCTATTCATTTCTGAGTAATTTTTTATATAGTTTTTTATATAGTTTTTTTCTTTTCTGCTATATTTATTATTTCTTTTATTTTTGAGTTGTAATAAGTCATTAAAAATAAGCATCTATGCTCATTTTTTAGTAAAGTTAATCACAACTATTTTTTTCTATTTATTTCTGAATTGTAATAAGTCATTAAAAAAGCATGTATGCTCATTTTTTTAGTAAAGTTAATCGCAACTATTTTTTCTTCTATTTATTTTTGAGTAGTTTTTTATATAGCTTTTTTCTGATATATTTTTTTTTATTTCTGAGTTGTAATAAGTCATTAAAAATAAG